AAACACACAGCGGAACTGTACAAACAAACACTTAATAATCGTAAAAATAAAATAGTCAACTATCCGCCCCACATCAAAATGTAAGCAACCCTCGTTTGAAGGTCTGCACATGCATACATATTTATCCACTTATATACCTACCCAGTAACCTAAATCTGCATACATAAAGACACAGGTACTAATTTTCAATTTAGGTACTTTGGACAGCTACAATTATAGGATATGTACATACATATGTATGTATGCATGTAACCATCTTTTCGTTTAACCCATATCAGCTTAACAGCAACAAACACAGAGACTGCGAAAAGCCATCAAGGTGCATATCTACATACATATGCGTAGATATCGAATCTCCCAGCCAGTTACTAGTTACCAGCAGTCAGTACGCATAATTTAACAGTGTTTTGCACTTCTGTGGTCCCCTTCACAAAAATACCTCTCGCTCCTGTCTTCTATGTGAAATCAGAGTTGTAGTTGCAAAGTCTGGCCAGGTTCCTCCTTCCAGCCACTCAGCAAGCAGCGTTAAATGGAATGCGGAAAGGCGACGTGTAGACAAACAAGTGAGCAGACATTTGAAGCGATCTCCGTCGACACGTACTGCCCGTGAAATGTACATACATCCGCAACATCCTTTGGATAATAAAAAAAATCATTTGAGCTTCGATGCATATCTTCATACGTATTTGCTATGCTAGTTTTATGTGCCGCTGGCCAAGCTTATACATATGTACATATATGTATGCCTAACTATTTGACTTTTTCCACATACATACATATGTATGAATATAGTTTAAACAAATTCGTATATGTATGTTGCCATATGGCTTTATCTGTTTACGTTACCTCATCTTCTTATTCCTCCGTTATATGTATTGTTTCTAATGTGATTCTTCTTTGGTAACGTAAAGCATAGGACAGACGACAGCGTTGATACGGATAAAGTCGTTAATTCGCAATTATCTCGGGAATTAAATGGAGTTGATCCCGATAAAGTTCTAGACTCTGGAGTTCATTCTCAAAATCAATTCTAATCAAGGCGAAAAAAGTACGCCAACTAATTCTCTTTCATAAACGCATCGTTTTAGCAAAAAAAAAAATATTTAATTCCGTGCCGTATTTTCTTACAGTGCAATTCTGGAAACTGTCTTTCTACTCACCACAATCATTTGTAAGACAATTGTCAATTCTGGTAGCTATCTTGAAAACAAGGAAAAGGAACTAATAAATAAAAGAACATTATATTAAAAAGGAAATAAAATTAAATTAAAATAAAGCAAAAATATATAAATATATTTTTTAAAATTAAATTAAATTAAAAAAAAAAAACTTTTTTTCAAACAGAAAAAATAAATAATGTAGGACTCAAAAATTAAATGAAATATAAAAATAAATAATTTTTTCTTTTTAAAATCAAGTCTCAAAATTGATTAAGAAAAAGAAAATAATCAAATCAAAGAAGAAGAAACCAGAACAAAAAAAATTTAATAAAATTAAAAAATATATAGATATATTTTTATTTTTCAACAAAATTTATAAATAAAAGAAATTTAGTTTTCGAAAAACAATAAAAAAATAAGATAAGAAGAAAAAAGTAGATGAAATATGTTTCCAAAAATTAAATGAAATTATAATTTTTTCATTTTTAAGCAATAAAATATACAACATAGGCTAAATAAAGAAACAAAATAATAAAACAAAACTATTTTTCCTTAAACAAACATTTAAAAATTGAAAAAATTATTTTAATTAAGAAAAAATTTTATAAAAACATACAAAAAGTATATAAAATAAGTTTCTTAAAATAAAATAAAATTAAAAAGTACATACATAATAATAATAATAATAATAATAGATTGGCGCTTACACATATGTTAGTGCGGAGGGACCTACAGTTTTACGCCGACTCCGAACGGCGATTGTATTTTTATGAGAAGCTGTTTTTTATGGAAGAAATACACTCGGAGGTTTGCCATTGCCTGACGAGGGACGACCGCTGTTAAGAAAAACCCTTTTTCTATATTTTTTGCGATGTTGCTTTGACCAGGGTTTGAACCCAGGTGCTGCGGAGTGGAAGCGCGCACTGCTTACCACTACGCCACAGCGGCCGAAAGTATATACATATCTTTCCTTTCAAATAAACGATATCAAAAAATTTAATTAAAGATAAAAAAAGTGAATCCGCAATACTGCCATCGGATCAACTGCACCGTTAATCTGGATTAACATTGCCATCTGTCTCTGTTATAAGCCACATGCCTTTGAGTGCTTATCACATGAATTTCGCCTATGGCTGCCGACAAGATTTGTTGTGATTTGACATCTACTTGCACATAAATATGTGCACATAACTACATAAAACATACGCTGACACAATAACTAAATAGCAAGCAAATGCAAAAAATAGCTTATCGCTAAAAGTTGAAGGCATTCCAGCCTTTAGGCGAGGCTTTGGCCATTGTTATAATTGAATTAAAGTGAACACTTGCCCAGTGGCGCTAAGCATTCCTTGCACACTTGTTTGCGTTTTGGTTCATATGAAGCACAATAAGGCTAATCCAGGCCAAAAATAGAAAAAATATTTACACATTCTCAAATCGTCTCAAATTGAAGTCATGAAAAAAATTATTGCTAAAAATTTAAATGCCCAATGTGCATGAGACCTAAAGAAAAACAAATGTGAATAGTCGTCATGAACGAACGAATAAAGATCACCCAGCACGGCGTGCGAGAAAAAAGTTATGTTTTTGCAGTGACGTCATTTTTTCGCCGCCATGTGAATAAAACGGAATGAAACCTGTGTGTGAATGAAAGAACCGATTAAAAAATGACGTCATCAACCATTATTTTTTTCTCAAATGCAATTACAAATACACGGTTGCCGTGCTGGTGATCTTGTTAGTTGGTTCATGAATAGTTGTAACTTCTCGGCAAACTTCCCAGACTCTTTTATCAATCTGAGAAAATTATCTTGCGAATGCCAGCAAGCTGCAAGAAAAATCAGCCGGTCTTTTCTCACATACATTCTCCAGGCAAGACAAATACAGTGCTCCGTCGGTGATGTGTTTTGCGGAGGCAGTTGTAGAATCATTCTCAAAGTTTCAGTGAGTGAAGAGCATAGAAATTCGCTGTTAACTGGGTAGCGTAGGTCACCAGACTAAATAGGACTTCGTAGAGCAAACTCGTGCGAATAACGGCCGTGTAGATCAAGTGGAGTGACTCAGCTAACAGACCTATGAGTCGTATTCTAGTGAGAAATCGATGAACCCGCCCAACCAGAGTTTTATCCGATCGATGTAATCGCGTATGGTAGGACACTATTGAAAGCCCCTGCTATATCCAGGCGATCGTTAGATTTTCGAGACTAAAGGGTAGAGGACTGCCTTCGTATAACTGTCATTGCTGTAAGTAGTTATGCTGCCAATTAGATAAAAGAGCTGAGTTAAGCGATTGTCTTATATCGTCGCCAAAGCGGTAAAAGCTGCCAACTTCACTTTTCGGTCAAAATAACTTTTCGATACTGACCGAAAGCTATGAAATATCTCTACATGGAGGTGAAAACAAATAATTATTTTAGTATTAAAAAGTCGCCAATATAATGGAGAATAGAATCTGCTTACTTCAAAAACATTTATTTTTTCAATCAAAAGCTGCTAACTCCGTAAATGTTTGATTTAGTACAAAATTCCTGTAGAACCTTCCACACGAATTCGCGTTTGATTTTGGACGCACATACTGCGAACATTCCTTCAAGTTTGGCAGGCTATTGAGGGTCTGCTCCATCATACCAAAAATGCATAGCTGATTATTGGTCTCAGCATAGAGGTTTAATCTACAGGAGTCCTCTAGATGATTACAAATTTTCCAAAATACCTTTTTTATATACCCAAAACGGTTTTAAGGCTTTGGGGGTTCATCACTCAACTTGAGTTGCCATAAAAGTTTACTCTTCAACATTTCACCTAAATACTTTACCTTACAGGGGCACAAGGCCGTACAACCTTCTCTTTCTAGTGAAGAGCACAATACAACAGAAAATCTCACCACTCCAAGTGTCAATCATACTCAGTTTTATTTGCCCTTTCCTGCTAAGAACTGACAGAGAAGGCCACATAATCTGCATCGACTTGGGCATGGATGTTGGAGCCGCTCAGTTTGACCAAGCACCAGAGCAAGTGAGAAAGTACACCGCCCTGAGGACGGCCCCTAGGAGCTTCGCACTTGACATACAAAAATGCACAGGGCGAATTAATTACTAGTGAAGGCATTGCTAATTCNTGAGCTTCGCACTTGACATATTGATGCCATTCGGCTTGAGCGCAAGTATTGAGCGGATCCAATATACCAGCACAGAATTTACTCCATGATTTGGAACCAATTAACATATGCTACCAAAGGTGATATTGTCAAAAAACACCCCCAACGCCTACAAAAATGCACAGGGCGAATTAATTACTAGTGAAGGCATTGCTAATTCTGGCTACCTGATTTTGCAGAGCCGTCTCTCAAGGTTTCCACACCTCATACTTATGTTGATACTAAGACAGGATATGATGAAGGCTGCTACCTACGAATACGCAACTCAATCAATTTCACCTGACATTTCAGCATGAAGGACATCGAGCTATTGGCCATTGGGCTTTAAGGGCTAGTATAGTCGTCACTACCAACTTTAGGAATAAAGACGAGGTCTACTAGTATCCATAATTAAGCTTAATTTCTAGAATTTTTTCTAATACAGATTTTTGCTTTACTTTAATTTATATCAGTTGCCATCCTTAAAAGTGTCACATATTTTAAACTCACATTCAAATTAGGGTTTCCCTATTTTTAAGTTGTGTATCTTTGTATGAACATTTTTTTATTTTGAATTAAAAATTAATTTAAACACATAAATAAATACTAAATTGCGCACACGAATTAAAGAAATTTAATTAATAAATAGCTTAATAAATAATTATTCCCACCCTAACGCCATTACGATCCAGTCACAATATTCTTCAACTCTTAACGATTCTTATGCAATTTACCGCCGATCCCGATCCTGTACGCGTTTCTATTTCAGTCTGAGTATCTTCATTTTCACCACCACCATATTCATCGTTTTCATTGTTATTATCAGCATAATAATCCGCACGTGTTCCTACGTCCGTTAATGAGTTATCGTTTTGTCTACCCTCTGGCGTACCGTCATCCTCATAAACATCATTTATACTGCGGCTATCGAAACAGATTTCTTCTGGTTCTTCTGGCTGTGAGCTTGGAGGTGCATTCGTTGAAGCCAAGTAATTAGCTGCGAGGTCCACCAGCAAAGCACCACCAATACCTTTGGCCAAACCGGCAGCGAAACCGGACACCGCAGCTATTCCTTGTGTTACCACTCGGCCCTCTGGTACCGCATCCTCACGACCAATTTCACGCAGTATGCGATATACTTCGGTGGCATTAAGCGGCACCAAGGTTAGGCGTTTTCCTGCAAGCGAAAGGCAAATGTGGTGATGAAATACATTTGGATACGAAAGCTTATTTTAATTGGAATGTCAGCGCGATTATTTCTTGAGTTTTTTTTTAACAAAAATAGACGTCATCTCTTACCTTCTGTCGGCAAACTGATGGCAAGCAGCATGCTTACTGTCACTAAATGTATCAAAACGAGTTGCATTTTTTTTATTTCCGAAATAAATCCTTTACGCATTTAGTTTATTTTCTCGAATTCGTTTTTTATACACAACCACAAATGCCGTCTTCTGTTACTATCAACTCGCCTGCTCAGTGCGCGCACAAATTCGTAACTAAACTTTAACTTAGAAAGTTTGTCTTTTTGACTAAGCGATGGCACGATGGATGCACATTTTTTTTTTTTTTTGACAAATATCATAATTAAAACGCTGAAATTTTCGCATGCCCGCAGAAGCTTTCGTTAATTTCTCTAATCGAAAGCGAAAGTATTTTACCGCTAAACTAGTAATGCTGCGATATTTTCGCTGTTCATTTTTATGATTAGGCACCCTACATTTGGCTCAATATCGTCGCTTTGAATATTACCTTTTATCATTAGCGTTAAGTAGAAACCACATAATTAAATATACTTAAATTTTTTTAATTTTTAAATTGATCAATGAAAACGATTGTATCTCAACTAAATTATTTCTTTTTTTTTATCCTACTTCAACATAAATACAAAAGTATTTATAAGGCATTTTTCATTGGCGAGATCAGCACGCATAATCAGCTACGAAGATGTTTTGTAGACTTCCTCTTTAGGCGAGTAAAAATGTTTGGCGTAGATAACAGCTTCTCTATGGGTGGATTGGCTTGTAGTTTTAGGTTAGAAGATGTAGCATAATTCTTCTACTTTGGTAGTGGCAATTTTAAGATCCCGACAGAGTTGGTAGTTCTAAGAGTTTTCCATCAGAATCTTTGTATTCGTATTTGAGTTTGCTGCGGTGCCCCACAACTGGATACCGTAGATGCATATCGGCTTTATGACAGTTGAGTACAGCAGAAGCTGGTTTTCAATTGATAGTTGGGAGTTACGGTCTATTAGATTTTATGCACCATTTTTTGAGCCAATCATCGATTGTATTAAGAGCATTTTGAAGTTTGCATGTAGCCGTATTAGAGGAGATGTCTTCCTAAGCTAAGCTTTCATGTAGTTCCGACTGTTTTACGCCTCGTTTAACGAAGAAGTGACGCTCTTTCGGACAGGACTAAATAAATATATAGTAGTTGGTAGTTTTAATTTTATAAAGTATCACATGGTTGGCACCTCGATGATAGGCCTCTGATATGTCGAGGAAAGCAGCAGTGCAGAATTTGTTTTGGTCAAATTCTGAATGAATGTTATCGACAAGCCTATGAACTGGTTGGATTATGCTGTGCCCCCTCCTAGATCCAAATTGGTGATTGGGAATAAGCTTGTTCTTCTCGATAAATTGAAGCAATGTTTTAAGAAAAGCACTTCAAGGAGTTCGGAGGCCAAAGATAGTAAGCTAATAGGCCGTAATGATTCAACTTTATCATTTTTTAAACATCGAAATTCCTGACTTACGTATTTGTTTTCACTTAATTGTAAAAAGCTGGAACTTATTACAAGTTACAGTATCGGTCATATCTATAGCACGCCATTTCAAAGTGATATTGTGTGCCACTTATGTTTATTTATTTATTTTTAAGAATTTTCAATTAAAATACAGTTCATTCTCAGACAAACCCGATACAAACCCAAGTGTAACAATTTGTAGAAAATTACAAAAAAGTGCAACAAATTTTCACCTAAATTTCAAACTTTTTTCTCGGAAGTGTTAGAATTTTTTTGAGTACACAGTTTTTTAGCACCTCCAATTTCAGTCTAATAATGTGCAAGTTTCAAGTGGCTAAAAGTTACCGTTGATTTTTTAGAAGTTTTTTCGCCAAAGGTGTTGCGGATTTCTTCCATATACAAATAAATTGAGTTTATTCATTATATGGAAGCCAATGCGACAAAAAAAAATTCTAAAAAATAAACGGTAATTCACCACTTTTACAAAGCAGCAGCGAATATGCCGTCTGCCCTCGGAAGCTTTCTTAAGTGGGAAGACGGATTGTATCTATTAGAACTTTAAGAGCAACATTGCTCTACTTAGTCCTTTTTCAATTTTCTTTTCGTATCAGTGATGCTTTAAAAGAGAATTAGCAGTGGAAGAGGGAGGCCCGCACTGCGATTTAAGGACCAAGCGGAGAAGGACTGGGCTTCTCTTGACATTTTGAATTAGCCAATTGGCCTCAGTTGTCACAGAAAATAAACGACTGGTGCGCTTTGTTTATCTCAGCTAAAATCACTTGGGCGGTTACAGGGCCAAATAAGAAGAAGAATATATATACTATATTTACTTACATCGCTCAAATATAAGTTATTCAAAATTTGTATATCTAAGAATAGTGCCAAGTCCCGAACGCCCGAAATGCCCTTATAATAACTTAAGCCGTTTTAACTACTCAATGGATATTTTCTTCAGAAATGTGCCTACTTCGTTGGAGCTGAGATAGCAGGGCATATACGTACATCGGATTTTGAGCTAACATGATTTCCTAACGAATCTCTTGAAACCGGTGTGACTTCTGATGATTTTTATTCCACAACCTATGTTAAGAAGACGAACGGTAGAGATGTTGTGGCCTTCGAGGTCAATATACCTTGGTCTCTCGTCCGTACCTTCTGGCAAGAGACAAACGAGGACTGATCTCTGCCGAGTAGTCGGCGTCCGGGAGTGATTTTTTATCACTTTAACTTGTTGGCAGAGGTTGGGAGGGGATGTCAATCCCAGCAAGACAACGATACTCTTGTTTACACGGAAAAGAAAATTTAAAGGTCGCAACCTTGCATTGCTTAGAGGCATAAACCTAAGTCTTTCCGTGGATGTTAAATATCTAGGGGTAACTCTAGATACGAATCTGACAGGAAAAACTCTGGTCTATCTGAAGGTCAATCGAGTCCTCAAAGTTTTCGGACGGTGCTGAAGAACCTTTAGCAACCTTTAGGTCTGAGACGGGCTATGGTATTTTGGATAAACACAACTCCAGTCAGGCTAATTGCCACCGACTTCGCTGTAGTATGGTGCAGAACCATGGTCAAGACCGGGGGTTCTCTATTGAACAGGCTACAAAGAAGCGTGTGTATAGGCATCACGGGCGCCTTGAGTACAACGTCAGGCTCTTAATGCTTTATTGAATTTGCCAACTCTGGATTTAGCGATCAAGAGGAGACAATGGAAACGATGTGTCGACTGCACTCTTTTGGTTTGTGGCACGACGATCGGAGCTCTGGGCACAGAGAGCTGTTCAGAAGGTTGTCAGAGCAATGTCCTTTGTTTTTGGCACGTAATGAAAAACTCATGCCTAGAGTCTCCTTTGGAAGAAAGCACGCCGTCAGATTTCCAACAAGGAAAGTTCGGTGAAAACTTTCTATGCCGACGACTCAAAGACTGAAAAAGGTAATGCAGCTGGATGGCATCTGGATGGTAACTTCAGCTGCTTTATCGCTTTGGGTGCAATGGCAACAGTCTCTCAATCGGATATCTTTGCAATACTGAAAGTGGCAGTTGGCGAAAGGTGGCACCGACATAAAATCAGGATCTGCAGTGACAACGAAGCTGCTCTAAAAGACTTGGAAACCGCTCGCAACTTTTTAAAGATAGTCCACGAATGTAAGTTGGGACTGAACTCCGTTACAAGGTGGAATGAGCTTTAGTATATATATAGAACATATACATATATGTCATATTTCAACTTTTATTCACTCTTTTCAATAACAATACAATTAATAGCGCCCTCTGGCCATGTAGATGTTGTAGAACTCGACATTGCAGCATCATCACCTTCCCTATCCATTAAAGAGTCCGCAGTGTCTGTCAACTCAGCAGTGGTTGCTGGATCCTTTGTTAGCATGTCCGAACTGTACCCGCCTGTTACTGCAGCGGCTCGTGAGATCAAATCGGGTAAACTTAAAGGCCCGTCATCTCGATTTTTAATGCGGTTATTGCCTCTCTGTTCATCGTCATCGCGTAACTTCTTACGTTTCTTTAGCTTTAAAACGCGTCCCGCTTCACCACCGCGCACTGGCTTTAGCCGCGCCTGCGCCACATGCCGATTACTCGCCGCTACGTATGCGCTATAGACCGCTTCAGCCTCAGCAAGATTACGGGCGCTACGCGTGTTAAAGCACATCTCCTGCGTTGACATACGCGTCTCGCTGCCGCGCCCGATTAAACGACGTGTGAGATTATTTACAAATGTCAAACCTTGTGTGATAATACGACCTTGGGGTAAAGCATCACTACGGCCTGTATTGGCGAGCAACTGATAGACTTCTGACGCGCTAAGTGGATGCAAAATCAGTTGCTTTGCTAAATATGGATGAGCGAAAAATGGTTTTGATTTAAGTTTTTATTAAAATAAACTAAAATAAAATTTACTAGCGAAATTACCTTGTATTGTAACAAAGATCGCAACAAAAAGTGAAAGCAATACAAACCAGCGCATTGCTTATAAATTCAGTACTATGGTGGCGAATTTTCTCGAAAGAAATATGTGCGTCTTCTCGCATTGAATTTATCCAAAATTGCATTAATGTTGCGCTGATTTTTGTTTATTAAATGGCTGCGCATTGATTTACCTTTCCCTTTTTATAGTCATTAGCTGAAAATCACAACAACAAAGCAACTTTTGATTTTTGGCTGACTAAAGCGGGTGTGAGAAGTCGGATATCCAAAGCAAAGTTTATGTAGCTATGTTGATAGTTGAATGACAGTAGGAATGTCACGAAATAATTAAAAATTAAACTCAGACTACTGCTGATGTTTGTATTTTAGAGGGGCTACAACATTAGACCATTAAAAAAAAGTTTATCTAACAGATATTTTTCAAAAGGGTTGCCCCCTCTCTAAATTTCAAATTCAATTTAATTATTATGCGAAATGAAATCTTACAGTATGGATGTAATCCAAAGAGTTTTAAGAAATCTTTATATAAAAAAAAATGTTGAAAAGGGGTTGCCACCGTTTTAAATTTCCAGTTCAATTTAATAAATGTGTTAAACGAAATCTTTCAAACGAAAGAGGTTTAAGAAGGTTTTATTTTTTAAATATT